CCTCCTGCGGTGCCAGCAGGGCGTTTTCGCAGGCGGCGTGGGGTCGGGCAGGAGCGATCCGTCTGGCTGCCCGGCATGCCTCCGGCGTCTGGAGAATGGCTGTCGGGAAGGGTCTGCCGGGGCCTGGGTGCTGCCCCGGGAGTCTGGCTGGGCACAGGACTGGGGATGCCCCTTCCTCCCTGCCAGCCCCGTCGCACGTGATGGAGAAACGGTGCCAGGGAGTGAGGCCGCAGTGCCGAGGTGAAACACGCTGCGTGCTGAGCTGGAGGAGGGATCGCGCCCACCCCAGGGGAGGGGAGGGGTCTGGGGTCCCAGGCTGTGACGGACATGGGGGCTGCAGAACGTCCGTAGGGCAGGAAAGAGTAAAGGGCTTCCCGTTCCTGGACAGGCTGAGCTGTGGCTCTGGGTAAGGGCCCCCCCTTCCCTCTGGGGTAGTGGGAGTCTCTCCCTGGGGGTGTAAATCCCGCCTGTAGAGCCCTGGAGCCCTGTGGCTGTGTCCAGACACGAGCCTTCACTCTGGCAAGAAGGCGGCCGTGACTGGAGCCACCTTGTTGCTACCCTGACTCTCCCCAGGGACGCTGCCCGCTCCCAGCCCTGGAATCCCACTGCCAGCCCCACAGCCCAGCACGTCCCGGAAACTTCCCCTGCCCGGAACCAAAGCACTTGGCGCAAACAGACCCCCTCCCCTCCCGTTGGTGCACAGGGCTCCCCAGGGCCGAGCGCTTGTGCGGCTACTCAGGAGAGATTCCAGCACCTCCCAGATTAGCAGAGCCCCTCAGCTGGGCTTTGTTTCTACGGGTGGTGCACATGCACATGTGCCTTGGTGCACAGAACAAAATTTATCCTGCACATGGATGGAAAAAATCCGCACATGGATGGACAAGATTAGAGGGAACATTGCCTGAGGGCCGAGTGCTTCCATTTTTTGCTCTCTCAGCTCTTGCCCTTCAGTGGGGGTTCCCCTGGCTGGTGCCCTTGCTGCCGGGTGGTCTCCAGCCTCTGGGTTCCCAGCACAGCCCCTGTCCCCCTGCTTCTCCAGGGGGCCACTTGAGGACATGTATTAACTCCTCCACTGCCGGTTCCACGGGCGGCTCTGCCCAGCTGAGAACTGTGCAGCCTGCACCCCTGGCACACAGGGCCCTGGGGGATGGGACAGCCGGTGCCAGCTGTGCCCTTGGCAGGGGTGTGCCAGGGCCAGGCCATGGGCAGGAGCCTGCAGGGCACATGCTGGGCTGGAAGGAGTTAAAGGGAAATATTTGCAGCGAGCGGAACGTGCCAGCTGGCCCCTCCTTCCTCCCCCAGTGACATCACGGCGGAGCTGGCGAGCGGGGTTTGCAGAGTCCAGTGCCGGTTGCTGGCAGGGGGGAGCAGCGTGGGGCTGGGAGCTGGGCAAAGGCCAGGTCACTGCAAGGCACAGCCAAGCCAGCCCCAGGAGGTGGGGGCAGGTGAGCCTGCAGCCCCAGGCGCAGGGCAGCGCGGAGCAGGGACCCGCTGGGAGAGCCAGCTATGGCTGCATGGAGCTGCTCTGTGGGAGCCAAGAGGCAGAGGGAAGCCGGGCACAGCTGGGCAAGGGGCCTGTGCCAAGCCCACCCCGGCCTGCGGCTGCATGGAGCCCCTTAAACCTAGGGGTGCAGCGGAGGGCGCTCGGGGAGCTGGCCTCGGACACGGCGACGGCAGTGCTTCCGGACGGCCCATGGGAGTCGGGGCCCAGGCCCCCCCACTGAGCTGGCTGGAGCAGGAGAAGCGCCCCCCCGGCAGGGGTGCCGGGGCATGGGCCTGCTGGCGTGAGAGCTGCTGGAGGGGCCGGGGCAGGATGAGCCTGCCCACGCCGGGCGGCTCCGTGGCCCTGGTGGATTGCGCCCTGGTCTGCAACGGCCACCTGGCCGGCTCGCCCCGCGCCGTCAACCGGCCCATCGACATCGTGCAGAAGCACAGACGGTAACCGCGGCTCCCGGGGGGAGGTGCCAAACGTGGCCAGTGCCGGCTCCAGCCACGGGCCCCACGGAGCTTGCTCATGGGCGTTGGGGCTGGGACCTGCCGCCTCGGCGCGCCCTGGAGTGCACGGCCCAGCGACCCCGGTGGCTCCTTCCGGCTCGGCTGCCTTTGGCGGCTGGCGGGAATCCCTTGGCACTGAAGGGGCAAGGAAGCAGAGCTGGGGCTGGCTGGCCTTTGGCGGGTTCTGGGTGCTGTCAGAGAGGAGATCGTGTGGGGGGGAGGGGACGTGTGTTGAGGGCTCTGCCCCCAGCCCTCCAGCCCAGAGGTGTGCGGGAGGAGAGGGACGATGCTCTTGCAGAAAGGAGGACGGTCCCTTTGGGGGGTAGGGGCTGGGCAGCAGTTGTTGGGGGCGGGTGCACCTGTGTCACCGATGGCCTCTGGGCAGGTTTACAGCCGTGGAGAGTGACCCAACGCGCACGGGCGGGACATGGCCTGCCTGGCCCTTCCCCCCCGAGCTGTGGCAAACCCCCTCCCCGACCTCGCTCGGTCCACCCCACGCCCGGTCCCCGTGGCTCGTTGCTGGGGCGTGCAGGCTGCCTCGCCGGGCGGCCCTGGCTAGCGTGATGGGAGCGCTGCAGGTCGCCTTGGCGGTGCGTGGCGCAGGGCCGGGAGGGCAGAGGGTTGCCGGGGTGACCAGTGTGCCGGGCAGGGGCAGGCTGGGCCTGTCCCAGGGAGTCCTACACCCCACAGCTCTGAGGAGGCAAGGACGGAGGGCCCGGCCGGGGCGTCTGCGCCCCTGGGAAGCCCGGCAGAGTGGGACACACAGTGCCCACTGGCTCCGATCTCGGGCAGGAGTTCACACCCGTCACGCCAGTGTCTCCACAGAGCTCGTGGGGGACCCGGTGGGGACAGAGCCCAGGTTCCTCCAGCGATATCTGTGGGGCCGGATTCAAGTGAGAGGGGGCCTCCAGCCTGCCCCATGGGTCACGTGCCACAGGGCAGGTGGGGTCGGCCATGGGGGGCTTTTATCCAAGCACACATTATCTGGGAGGCATTAACAGGGCTGTTATGAGGCGTCATTCTCCCGCTCAGCTCTGCGCTGGTTAGGCCTCCGCTGGAGGATTGTGTCCAGTTCTGGGCACATTTCAGGAAGGATGCGGAGAAATTGGAGAGGGCCCAGAGAAGAACCCCACGAATGATGAACGGTCTAGAAGACCTGACGTGTGAGGGAAGACTGTAAGAACTGGCTTTGTCTAGTTTGGAAAAGAGAAGACTGAGAGGGGACATGAGAGCAGCTTCCAAGTACCTAAAATGGTGTCACAGGGAGAAAAATTGTCCTCGGCCTCTGAGGACAGGACAAGGAGCAATGGGCTGAAACTGCAGCGAAGGAGGTTTAGGTTGGACATTAGGAAAAACTTCCTGCCTGTCAGGGTGGTTAGCACTGGGATAAATTGCCTAGGGATGTGGTGGAATCTCCATCACTGGAGAGATTTAAGAGCAGGTTGGACAGACACCCGTCAGGGATGATGTAGCCGGTGCCTGGTCCTGCCGTGAGGGCAGGGGACTGGACTCGATGCCTCTCGAGGTCCCTTCCAGTTCTAGTGTTCCAGGGTTCTGTGATTCTGTCCCGCCAGTGGCTCCCTGACACATCCTGGCACCGGTGTGGCTTGTCACCCTCAGCAGAGCACGTGACACTCCTGGAGGGCAGAGTCTCAGCACTACTGTCACTTCTGAATGTGCTGCGTGCGCCAGCAGCCCCCCATGCACATGGCCAGCGCCCGCCCCAGATGCTCTGTGCAGCAGGGCTGGGCGTGGGGCAGTGCACCCGGGACCCGTGCTTGGGCTGGAAGGGACTCCAAGGGTCACCGAGCCCAGCCCCCAGCCCTGACCCCGGAGCGAGAAAACCCAGCCCAGCCCTGCCACGTGTGACTAACCTGGTCTTCAAACGCTCCAAAGACAGGGATCGCGGAGCCTCCTTGGAGAGCCGGTGCCAGAGCTCAGCTTGTTTCTAAGCTACACCTCTCCCCCGGCGGCCTAACCCCCTTACGTCTTGTCCCACCCGCAGCGGGCGTGGAGAACACCTGAGCGCATCCTTGCGGCTTTGTGGGCTGTTACCGGGCGCCGTCTCAATCTGCCTTTCCCCAGACCACACCTGCCCACCTGGGAAACCTTCCCTCGCCTGGCAGGTTTTGGAACCGCTGCTGGTTTGCCGCTCTCTCCAATGTGCCCCCATCTTTCCTAAAGTCCAGCACCCAGAATTGGAGGCAGGACTGCGCCGCACCTGAGCGCATCCTTGCGGCTTTGTGGGCTGTTACCGGGCGCCGTCTCAATCTGCCTTTCCCCAGACCACACCTGCCCACCTGGGAAACCTTCCCTCGCCTGGCAGGTTTTGGAACCGCTGCTGGTTTGCCGCTCTCTCCAATGTGCCCCCATCTTTCCTAAAGTCCAGCACCCAGAATTGGAGGCAGGACTGCGCCGGGGATCGTGACCTCTCCTCTCTTCCGTACGACACCCCAGAATATCAGCCTTTTTTTGCAGCTGCATCCGATTGTTGGCTCGTAGTCCTGTGTGGTCTGCTAGCCCTCCCGGCGCCTGTTCAGCGGCGCTCCCACCCAGCCGGCCAGCCCCCAGTTTGCAGCTGGGCCTTTGGAGCCGTCTGCCCGAAGCGACGTCCTTTGCTCCCGTCTTTGTGGAATTGCGTGGGCTTGGATTCGGACCAGTTCCCCAAGTCGTCTTGAATTGTAGCCCCCCGTTCTCCCAAGTGCTTGCAGCCCCTCTCGGCTCGGCCGTGCGTTTCGAGCGGCGCTCCCACCCAGCCGGCCAGCCCCCAGTTTGCAGCTGGGCCTTTGGAGCCGTCTGCCCGAAGCGACGTCCTTTGCTCCCGTCTTTGTGGAATTGCGTGGGCTTGGATTCGGACCAGTTCCCCAAGTCGTCTTGAATTGTAGCCCCCCGTTCTCCCAAGTGCTTGCAGCCCCTCTCGGCTCGGCCGTGCGTTTCG